TGCATTCCCACTCACAGAGAGAGAGTGGGAGGGTGCTTTCCAGGGGTCAGGGTCGGGGAACGGGGAGATGTTGTTCGATGCGTGCAAACTTTCAGTTGTAAGATGAATAAGTTCTGGAGACCTAATGTCCTACATGGTGACTATAGTCAATCATGATGAACTCTGCTGAGAGTAGATCTTTGGTGTTCTTAACACACAACACACATGCGCGCTCACGTACACACAACGGGTTTTTTAGAAAGCACTTCACTGCCTTTCATTGCCAGGTAGTATTCCATCCTATGGATTCACCACTCAACCACTTGGACATCTGACATTTGACTGTTTCCATTTTTTGGCTATTATAAATTGTGCCGGTCTGAACATTTATACATGAGACTTTGTGTGAACATATGTTTTTAATTCTCTTGGGTAATACCTAAGAATGGAATTATGGGATTGTAAGTTTGTTTAACTTTTTTTTTAAGCCAGACTGTTTTCATAGTGGCTGCATCAATTTCCACCCTCACTAGCCATGTGTAAGGTTCCCCCTCCCACAGTTTTACCTGCCTTGTTTTCCGAGTGGTTATCTTACCCCCTCCAGAGTCTGTGACAGCCAGAAGACACATTTCAGAAACATAACAGATCCCACAACTGTTGGGGAACCACCCTTGCGGGTCACCCCACCCCATTTCTCAACTTCTCAAAAGTCTGTTTCATAGACTTTTTATTTTCTTGTTACTTGACTTACTAAAATACAGTTTTTTTTTCTTTTTTTTTTTACTCAATAATATTCCTGTAATTCTTCTCTTGTGATCTTGGGCCCTAGACATGGTACTCATATAACCAGTCATGGGATTTAGTTTTATACATCTGTAGGCCCCAAATGGATAAGCCCTTCAGAGGGAGACACTTTGGTACACCAAGAGACTAGCACACAACACGGCATAATGCAGGCCTTACGAATATTTACTGAGGCCAGACATGGTGGCTCATGCCTATAATCCTAGCACTTTGGGAGGTCAAGGTAGGAGGATCATGTGAGGCCAGGAGTTTGAGATCAGCCAGAACAACATAGTGAGACCCTGTCTTTACAAGATTAGCTGGGTGTGGTGGTGTGTATCTGTAGTCCCTGCTACTGGGGAGGTTGAAGCAGGACGATCCCTTGAGTCCAGTAATTTGGTGTTGCAGTAAGCTATAATGACACCATTGCACTTTAGCCTGGGTGGCAGAGACCCTACTCCCCTCACCCCCCCCAAAAAAATTGTTGAATAAATCAGTAAAGATTCATTTGATTTTGTTTCTGTTCTTTGCTTTCCAGGTATATATAACCAGAAGAAAGAGTGGAGATTCAATGTACACATTTGGTTCAACTATATACTAAGTTCCACATTAGCCTGCATTCCTTGGAAAGGGTCATATAATTCCTAAAGGATTCACTCCTGTCAAATGTGTTGTGTCAAATTTGACCATTGAAAAGATGATATGTGATCTATAGTTTTCACAGAAACTTTAGGAGAAGTTCCGATCTTTCAGTTTAAATGAAAACTCTGAGACCTGGAGCAGTGAAGTGACCTGCCCAAGGTCCCCTGCATGTGCTAGTCAGCTCTAAGGGTCAGCTCCCCTTCTGGAAGAAACCCTGTCATAAGGAGAGGGGTGCTAGAATGATGGGAAGATAAGGGGCTGTGGCAGGACTCTGAATGCCAGGCCTGAATGGCCTTCTATAGGAAGGGAAGGCTCTGGAGTAGGGTGTGAAACTACTCAATGAGTATTCTAGTAGATTAATATGGGATGGGCAAGATGGGAGTTAGGAGACCAGTGGGGAGGCTGTCAAGTGTGAAGCAAGGAGGGGGGGCCTGGTGTGGCAGAGTGTTTGCAGACAGAACTAGGAAGGAAGAATCACCAGTTGTGCTAAATGTCTGGATGACTGGAGTCTGCAGTGGACTGGACTGGAAAGTGGTAGTCTTGATAACTGAGATAAGGAAGACAGGACCGAAGTGCAGGTGTGCTGATCACACAAGTGCCCACCATAGCCCCGGGGCACAGCCTAGAGGGCCAGAGGGTCTCTGCACACTTCCTGCTGTCTAATATGGGCTTGACTATGCACAAGTTTGTGACCTTGGGCAAATGACTCGATGACTCTGTGCCTCGGTTTCCTCATCTGTAAAATAGGGTAATAACAACCACCTCCTAGGGTTGTAGGGAGAATCACATTAGGTGACATACTGAAGGCACTTAGACCTGAGCCTGGTGCACAGCACCATCAGTTCATACTGGTGGTGCTTCCTCTTAGGCCTGTAACTTATCTCTGTCCTTGCAAATAACTGTAACTAGGGAGTGTCCAACTGTAGAAGCTTTGCCTAATTCCATGTTTGAAGCTCTATACATAAAATGTGAGAGAGAAATATCTTATTTTTTAGAGTTTGTGCCAATGTTTAAGCTTACCAGTTGAAAATTTCTCAAAAGAATTAGCTTTGGGCAGTGCCTGTGGCTCAAAAGGGTAGGGCACTGGTCCCATATGCCAGAGGGGTGGGCTGAAACCCAGCTCCGGCCAAAAAAAAAAAAAAAAAAAAAAAGAATTAGCATTAAAAACATGCCATGTCCAAGACTTAAATCAGTCATATATGAAAAAATATGTAGCTAAAATGTCTAGTGTGGTTCTCAAATGCTACTCTTGGGGCCTTGGATAATCTCAGATAGGATTCTGGGGCTGTCCTGGGAAGGGGGCTAGAACCCCCACCTCCTCGGTGACCAGAACTACTCCCCTTTACGCTGTCACAGATATTGGGTTTCTTAGTAAGAGATATCTGAATTTCATTTGAAGACAGCTTTCAATTTTCTTTTAACCCCTGTACAGAAATTTACTAAGCATGCCAGATTGATAACAACTACTAAATGATAAACCTTCAAAAATGAAAAAGAATATATATATATGTTTTTTTCTTTTTTTGAGACAAGAGTCTCACTATGTTGCCCTAGGTAGAGTGCCCTGGTGTCACAGCTCCCAGCAACCTCAAACTCTTGGGCTTAAGTGATTCCCTTGCCTCAGCCTCCCAAGTAGCTGGGACTACAGGCACCTGCCAAAACACCTGGCTATTTTTTTGTTGCAGTTGTTTAGCTGGCCAGGGCCAGGTTCAAATCTGCCACCCTCAGTGTATGTGGCTGGCGCCATAACCACTGTGCTACAGACACTGAGCTGAAAAATGAAAATATATTTCATATAAAACATCAAACTCTTTGAACGGCTAGACAAATTTATGAAGACTAAAGAAGGGGAAAAATACCATACCCTTCAAGGAAATGCTATTATTACTTTGCATTTTTCTAACTGGTGTAGGTATCCACCACATCAATATTCCATAATTTTAGGAAGAGTTGGGAAAAATGCAAATTGAATCTTGGGCAAACATTTCATGCCGGTCCCTATCTGTTTAAGAAACAAAGTATTTTACAAAGGAATCACACATTCCAAGAAAAGTATGTCTGTTCTGGCTTACATGCAATACCTTCCTCAGTAAAGTCTGATTCAGATACATCTTAGGAAATTCAAAATCACTTAGTTTGCAGACAACTGAATGTCATGCTACATTCTAAATTCCATGAAGATGTTTTCAAAATCGATTCTGCTATGTCAGAGTATGCTTTTGAGCTCCAATGCATGTTATTATTTCATGGCCTTTATTGCCATGGTGACGTATCAAATTCACTTATTTCTATATTTTAGTTAGACGTTTTGTGTGTGCATGTGCACATACACACATATTTATTTTTGTTTTTAAATATGGGCTTTGAATATATATATATTTGTAGACGCTAAATTAGTCAACAGGGAAGAGGAGAGAATGGGATTAAGAATGGAGACCCTGGGACCAGGCTACCCAGGTGTGGCCCTAGCTCAGCCATGTCCTAGTGCCATCACTTTCCACGGGCGACTTCCCTCTCTGTGCCTCATTTTTCTTATCTGCAGGTGGGAATAATAACCAGGCCTCTCAACAGGCTGTGAAGATCATACATAAAGCACTTAGAATAGAACCTTGTACATAGCAAAACTCAATAAATGTTAGCCATCATTAGATATTTCTGATTTCCCAGTGTGGTGAAGATGTGCTTCATTTGGTTTGATTAAATACATAGTCTAGTTGCTAAAAGGTTGCTAAGGGAGACAACAAATTGGCACTCTCTACATAGTTAGAGTTGAAGACATTCAAATTTGGCTCAGTGCCTGTAGCCCAGTGAGTGGGGAGCTGGCCACGTACACTGAAGCTGGTGGGTTCGAGCCCGGCCCAGGCCGGCTAAACAATGACAACTGCAACCAAAAAAATAGCCGGGCATTGTGGCAGGTGCCTATAGTCCCAGCTACTCAAGAGGCTGAGGCAAGGGAATCGCTTGAGCCCAAGAGTTTGAGGTTGCTGTGAGCTATGATACCACAGCACTCTACCGAGAGCAACATAGTGAGACTCTGTCTTTAAAAAAAAAAAAAGAAGATATTCAAATTAAAGACACTGCTGTTCATAAGTCCACAGATCCTCAGGGGTGACAGGACATTCCAGAGCATCTTGTTCAACATCTTTACTATATGGCCCAAGACACCAAGGCCCAGGGGTGATGCCACTTGCAGAGAGCAGCAGCCAGGATGTGTCTGCTCAGTTGACACTTCAGGCTCTGGGAGGGCTGCAGCAAGGTTTCCACGATGGCCACTGATGACCACTGCACTGATAAGCCTGTTACCGGAACCTTCTATGCCATTCAGAATGACAACAAAAGCATTTATATCTTTGGAACTGTCAATAGACAAAGCAAATATAGGAAAGTAAACTGATTCCACACTATAACCTTATGTTATTACTACACTCATAGAAAATGCTTTGCAATTGGTGTGTTTCTATGTTTTTATTTTAAATATCACTTGAAAGACATTCTTTAGTTAAAACTATTATAAAAATCAGTCTGATGTAATAGAAGTAGAAAAGTTTGCACCTTTGGGATTTACACTTCAGGAGGTGCACAGACAGGACTCAACCGCTGATAGTCAAAGTTTTATTTAACATTGTAGAACACATAAAAATAAACAATAGAATTTGCTTGCATTTTTGTTGTGTAACTAGAAAAGTGTTTTCAATCATACTTAAAACCATGAAGTTTACCCCAAAGTATGCTCCGCAGCCAGTCCCGACTGCGTGGCTGAGTGCTGCACTCCCGGAGGCTGCGATAGGAGGTAGGCTGCTGACACCCCTGACGGCAGGTGACGGTTTCCTACTGGGATTGACGATGTCTTTTCTTGTTGTGGTTCTCGATCGCCCTTCTAAGTGCTTCATCCTGGATGAGGTCTGACATTCTCATATCTGTGTGGCTACAGCCAATTTTAGGACAACTGTGAGGAAGAAAGAAAGTTAAGTCAGTCCACTTGACTGCCTTGAGCATAAATTTCTTTCACATTCAAGTGTTTAAGTAGGGACATTTTACCAAAAATGGCACATGTGTTAAAAAATCAGGAATGATTTTATTCTTGGATTGCCTACCTAAGCCAGGCCCTGCCTGGGTGCTGGGGACACAGCAAGGCACAAACAGGCCTACTTCATGGTGTTACTTTCTAATGAGGGAGGGAGGCAACCACTGAGTAACCAGATACACTCGTGCTGAGTTCAGGTACATTAAGTACCACGAAGGCAGTGAAGCAGGGTCTGGGACATAGAGTACAGGGGTTAGAGCAAGCCCCGCCGAGTAGGCCAGAGTGTGGGAGTAAGTCTGTGCAATTGTATGTGATCCAGCCTGAGGCAGCAGCAAGTGTAGACGCCGAGTAGGTCCAGCTTGGGGCTCTGGAGTGAGAACAAAGTGTGTATGGCTGAAGTGACCTGGGCCAGAGGGAGGGCACTAGGAGGGGAGGCTAGAGGGCGAGTGGGACTTCGGATTTTATTTAAAATACAGAGGAAACACAGGAGGGTTTCGAGGTAGCAAAGGGCTGTTTTGGTTGATACTTAGAAAACATTCCTCTGGCTGCTTAATGGAGAGCACAGGCAGGGAGGCAAGAGTGGGCCAGGGAAACTAGTTTGGGGGAGCCCACGAGGCCTGGGGAGAGAGGCCAGGGCAGCTGGGCTGAGGGTAGTGGCAGGGATTAGCTCAGGACACACCTGAGCGTAGGACCTAGTGGACTTGGTTATAGAGGGGATGTCCAGTGTATAGGAAACAAGAGCAGCTGAATTTCACTGGAAGGGTTTGGCCCAGGCAGATGGGTGGGTGGTAGTGCCCTTTAATGCGATGGGTGATCATGGGCAAGGCCAGCTGGGTCATGGTCCTGGGAGTCCTGACTGGCATCATTCCCTCTGGAGAGCCCACTTGACCTCTCAGCGGAGAGACTGCAGGGTAGCTGGGACTTGGGGGAAAGGCTGTGGCTAAAGATATCAGCATGTGAGTCACCCAGAAGGGGTGGGACTAAAGCCACAGCCCTGTTTAGATGTGGTCTCCGCTGAAGGCAGTGGGTTGGGTGAAGTCGCCTGATTGCATCTCAGCGTGAACCAGATTCCGGTAGACTATAGAGGCCCCGTGTTTGGAGTCAAGCTGACCTAGGTCTGAATTCTCTCTGTACCACCTGCTTGCTGGTTATAAGACTCTGGGCAATGTGACCTTTGTGAGCCTCTGTTACTGCTGATTTAAAATGGGTAGAGAATCTATTTCCCAGAGTGATGGGAACACAGTGCTCAATGATGTCTATTTTCTTCACTGTCTCCTACGACTGTCATTTGTTCTCTGACCATCATTCTTCCAAGCAGTTTTAAAGTCCCCGATCTATTTATATCTCGCACATATCCCACCCACCCATTGGTGTGGTCCCTGACCCTTCTGTGAGGTAGGCCCTGTGCTAGGTTCTAAGCACACAACTGTGAAAATGACGACACGGCTCCTGCCCACACAGAGCTTGAGCCCACTGATCTGAAACAGCTCTCCAAAACACACAAGTATATAAAGACCCAAAATAAGAAATATAAGACAAAAGATGCAAATCAGAAAGGAAGAAAGCTGGTCACAAGAGTTCTACTTTGTTTAACGGTAGGAAGCCCAATAGCCAACACCAAAGAGAACTTCTTTTTCTTGGCCCTGATCTCTGGATCAAGGAGTCTTTGTATTCGAGGGGCATTAGTCAAAGGAATGAATCAGACAATTCATTCATGATCAATGATATGACTACATGAAAGAAGAGCAGGGCGGTTTGGCTCAGGTGTGCATCACTTTGATAATTTGGCTGTGCATTAGGGTAGGGATTGAGAAAAATCTGTTAAAAATCTGTATTTTTTCCTAGCCTGGCTTGCACGCTGTTAAGTCTCAGAGTGATTTTTTTCATTATGCACGAAAATAACCAGCTAAGATTATGAAGAGGATTCAGGTGCTTTCATCATGTTAGAAAGCACGTTTTTCATCACTTTAGAAACGGAACTCCAAGTAGGTTGCTGGCATCCCTCCTTTAATGCACCAAATCACTGAATAGCCACTGCTGACTGCCGGGCCTTAGTCTCTCCCTACAGCAGAGTCTAACTCCAATAGCCAGACAGTGAATAAGCTATGGACGGGGAAGTGGGGAGGACTTCCTGATGACATCAGCGGCCATAGTCAGTAAATGAGAGCATTCTGAGAACATCTGATGGACTTAACCACACCGCTCAGCAGAAGAGCAGGAGCCCACATCCATTTCAATGGGATGGAGCCCAGACTGATCCACATCAAACAAAGAGGCTTGAGCTCACTCAGGCGATAGACTCTGGGGACAGAGGCAAGAACCAAATAGCCCTCCCAAGGGGAGTCAGATGGTCTAATGACAAAAGTACAGGCTCCAAAGTGAGAAAGACCCAGGCTTACGTCCCCCAGCTGTGGCACTCTGGGTAAGTGGCTTAATTCTCTGTGCCTCAGTTTTTTCCTTTAAAAAGATGCAAGGCTCTTGTGAGAAGTAAGTGGGCCCTGTGTTGGAGGAGCTCACTTCAGGTCCCACAGAGCCCCAGCTCCTGCTCTAGTCCACAGCTTCCCCGGTGAAGAAGCTTGGAAAAGAGCCAGCTCCTCCACATCGGCATGGCGTGGGGACGCCAACACTGTCCAGGATGAGGGACGGTTCAGAGAAGAGTTTCTGGAGGGGAGGTTAATGTAGGTGCGGGTGCAAAACCCTGTTTCTCACCCATCTCAAGTAAACAAACACACACAAATTTTTAAGCTAAAGGATAAGAACAGGCCATCATGTTGTGGTACTGACTCAGGGCACTCCTTGGGAGGAACAACTCTCTACACAAGCAGGCGGCATTAATCCCCCACACGGTGGTGAGCAAGGCAGGTGTGGCAATACTTCCTACTACTGCAGCGCGGGGCTCAGCTCTCCAGGCCTGAACTCGGGCCACTGCCCAGGCACAGCATTCCACTGCGGCGGGGAGCAGGCACAAAAGGGTCTGCAGCACAAAGGGAACTGGGTCTGAGGTTCCACAAGGCTGAGGGGGAACCTTGGCCTCAGCCATAGCTCAAGGGCACAAGATTCTGAGTCTTACAAATTCCTGAGTTCCAAGAATTCCAAACTTCAATCCACAAGTGGTAGAAAAAAGGTCTTGAGATACTTTAGGAAGTCTGAGTAGGATAAATTCCTGTCATACCTAAGCACAGAGTAATTCTAACATAATGTGTCACTAAGCAGCACAGTGTGCGACCATGACTCCAGCAGTCTCACCTAAAGACCCACTGCTGTTTGTGCTGTGTTCCACAAAGAGCTTTCCTTCTCCACCATGACCAAGAAATTTGTGGCTAGAATAAAATTCCCTACCCTTTCCTTGATCCCAGAAATGCTGTGAGAGGAGGATGCTATTCCCACTTTACAGATGAGGACACTGAGGCTGACAGGTGAAACGATTTGTTGGCAAAGCACAAAACTGGAGTTCTGTTGAACTACCCATTTCTATTCAACTTCATTTTACTCTACATGTTCTTAAATATGACTGTTTATTAAAAATAGTTCCTGTTTCAACAAAAAAGCAAGGAAAAAAAAAGGACTGGTAAAATTGCAAATATCTTATTAATAGGAGACCACACGGCAGCTTTATTTGATAAGAAAGATAACAACAGCTTCACTATCAAGAGATTATTTTCAGCAATTAATCTAACTACTATACTTAGTTAGGGCTAAAGTGTCAGCAATATCAGTCTGAGTCAAGGCAGTGGAGAGAGGCCTTCCCAGAGACTGAAGCACACAGAAAAATTCAGTCATTGTCCAGAAACACAATGTACCTGGAACTCCAGTCTAACAAAACGTAATTAGAACAATCTAGGAGGAAGAGATGAGATGTCTCAAACTGGATGTGTCACAGACATTTTTTAACAAAGGGAACCCAGAACTGCTCATCACTCAAACATGCATCATGGGAAATGACACCGTTCACGCTTCATCAGAAGCCTCCAGGGTAAGCCTCACCTGCTGCCAGTGCACCTCATCTCCAGGCCCTGGCCAGCTCCACCCGCAGCTCCTGCGGCCACTGGACTCTCCTATTGCCTTGCCTGTCCCTGGCTGTGCTGGGGTCTTCTTCCTGATTGATCTTTTCATTGCTTAACAAAATGCCTTTTGTGAGGGTTGATACCAGGCTCTGGTCGGGTGCTGAGGGCACCACGGTGAGCAGAGCAAAGCTTGGAATCTGGCCTTGTGGAGCTTAGGGCCAGGCCAAGGTCCCACCTGGCAGTCTTGCCACGGGCAAATGCGTCTATTCCAGGGCCACGTCTATGGTGGCAGATAAGTGGGCTTGACTCCTCTGTACCAATAACCTCACAATCAACTCTGCCAGCTCTGACTCCGCTCTTGAGTTCAAACTCCACGTTTTCTGTAATTCCTAGACATTTCCAAATGGCTGTGTAGCTGGGACCTCCAATTCAGCATGACTCGAATTGAGCCTGTCATAATCCTTTCCTCAGAGCATTCCTCTCTCATGCCCTCTCTGGAGGTTAATGACAGCTAATTAAGAAATGTCAGCCATGCTACACCTCTTCTTCCTTCCTCCTACACTCAGCCCGCCACCAAATTCCATCCACTGTACCTCCACAATCACTCTGGCCTCAACCTGAGTTCTCCTTATCTATAAATTAACCTACAACACAAGCATCCCGATGACCTTTTCACCTCCTGCCTTTCTAATCCACCCTTGGACGGCGATTACACTAACACCCTCAAGTCCAGGTCGGCTCCTCCGGTTCCCTCAGTGTAATCTTCTCCCATCCTTGTGGAGCAAGGGTGGTAAGAACGGTGGTGCTTATGATGGTGACAGTGGATAAAGGCTGAAAATAACGACGATGGGATGATGTTTACTGAGCCTTATTCTGCGCGAGGAACTTTAAGCACTTCACATCTATCTTATTTAAATTACAAATATTACAAAAAATGAGGCAATTACAACTATTAACATCGATTTATAGATAAGAAAAGTAATGAAATCATGACATTTATGTACTCTGTAATGAATCTTCATTTTCCTATCTTTTTAAAAGTTTTCCTTTATTATTGTTGCTTTTATGAGAGACAAGGTCTCGGCATGTTGCTCAGACTGGTCTCAAACTCCTTGCTTCAGGGAATACAGGCATGAGCCACCATGCTGGCTCTACGACTTTCCTACCTTAATTATTGTCTATAACGCATCCTTCTCTCTCTCTTTTATTAACCAGAGAGGGGGGTCTTGCTCTGTCACTCAGAATGAAGTGCAGTGGCGACATCATAGCTCACTGTAGTCTTGAACTCCTAGTCCTAAGCAAACCTCCCACCTCAGCCTCTTGAGTGGCTGTGACTATAGGCATGCATCACCATGCCCAGCTATTTTTTTTTCATTTTTTGGTAGTGATGAGGTCTTGCTATGTGGCTCAGACTCCTGCCCTCAAGACAATCCTCCTGCCACAGCCTCCCATATAGCTGGGATTACAGTCCTGAGCCACTGTACCTTGCCCACAGCATCCTTTTATCCCCCCCTCAATATACAATAACTGCAAGTGTACTTAGAGCCTGAATGGGGTGACACTCTTGGCCAGGAGAGTCCTCTTCACCATTCTCTGAAACTCTCATTTTTCAAGGTCCAGGAGAAATACTATCTTCTCTGTAAACCTCCCAGATTTCTTCCACTCAGATTTAATTGTTATTATTGTTAAGCTATGAGAAGCTAGAGTTTTTGACATCCACGTTATGAAAGTATGACAGAAAAAAAACCTTTTCTAAATGACAAGAGTTACTCAAGTGCTTCCAAATATCATATATAATTCAAAAGAACATTATAAAGTCAAAGTGTGTAATTAAGAAGACCTGTCTAATGCGAGGCCTATTCTGGGAGTTGCTGCCACCCATCCGAGGATTGGTGGTGAGAATTACGCTTTGTATCAGTACCGGCCCTTTCCAAATCTGACTCTAAGAGAATATTGCAAACTTTAAGAGTTGTGAAAGAGAACTAACGAGGAATACCTTATTCTTAGCAATTATTTTAACACCATTTTGCTCTTCAGAAAATGAACACAGAAAAAAGTTAACAGAAAGGGAAGGCTTAGAAGTCTAGAAACAAAGAAAATTATATTCACAGGGAAAAATGACAGGTTCACTGTAGAAAGCTCTCTTTTTTTTCCTTTCTGGTCTCAAACTATCCCCCTGTCTGGGCCTCCCAAAGTGCTGGGATTACAGGCATGAGCCACTGTGCCTGGCCTCACATTTCAAATCTAAGCCAGAAACTCAAAAACAGGTAAAAACATACTGTGGATAGTCTACATTTTACAACCATTAGGCTGCAATACCATTATTCTTCTAGAATAAACAGGGTGAATTACTTGACTGAATGACCATCAAGATATTTACAGTCTCAGAAACCCTATCTCTAAGTCCACACCCAGATGACGAGTGGTGGGGAATTGCAATTCCAGTTCTGGACCAGCGAATTTGGCAATGGAGGAGCAAAGTACACATCAAAGGGACCGTTATCAGAAGTCTACTGAGAACCAGTCACACCTGCAATTCCATTCCTATAACAAATCTATGATAAGAGCCGAGAAACGCCAAACTGAGTCGAAGTCAGTCCAGCTACCTCAGGATTCCGTGTCATTATAGGAACAGGGCCATAGTCCTCTGTGGTCACGAGGGAAGAGAAAGGAGGGAAATACATATATATATATGAAACTTTCGATTAAGAAAATAATTTCTTATTCCAATTATTAAGTTAGTATTTAATTTATTACAATTTCTCATTGAAAATCTGAGTCTTTTATTTTCCCGAGTCTCTCTCTGTGGCCTATGCTGGGGTGCAGTGGCATTGTCACAGCTCACAGGAACCACAAACATTGGCCCAAGCCTCTTGTCTCAACCTCCCGAGTAGCTGGGACTACAGGTGTCCGCCACCACACCTGGCTAATCTTTTTTCCCATTTTTAGTAAAGCCGGGGGGGGGGGGGTCCTCACTCTTGCTTAGGCTGATCTTTAACTCCTGAGCTCAAGTGATCCTTCCAGCTTAGCCTCCCCAAAGGGCTAGGAGTACAGGTGTGAGCCACCTCACCTGACCGAAAAACTGAACAGTAAAATTATTAAAAATAAATTCTCAGTTGTCCACCAATTTGCTTAAACCTTTGGGAAGTTGTTTAAATAATTAAATATATGAAAAGTTTTCCATGACAAATCTGCATCATGATAAAAAGTGTTTACTTAATGATATTTTTTTACATAAAGTACCTGTATTACAGGAAGCAAAATTCATAAAAATCCTGTTATCTAATGATTAAAATTCAATATAACCCTTTTTTCTTCTGTTCTGAAGGTGTGTTTGAAGCTCCTTCAGCCTCTTCCTGAACAGATTACTAATTCTTTCCTCATGTATTGTTTCTCCAGAAAGCCAGCTTCCATGTGTACAGTCTCCTGGAGGGGAACGCAATGTGGGGGAGACAGTTAAGTGTCTTTTCCTCCGGCATGAACACACCCCCTGACTGACTACCACTAAGGAAGGCGCCACTTCCTTTCCTGAGCCAACTTACCAGGCCTTTTTCTTCCGCTTGTGCTTGGACTCAATCATGCGGACAATGGCTTCCTCCTCATAGGTGTGGCCACACACTTTATTTTTCACTGGTTTCTTCATTTCCAGCTGCAATCAAGGACATGTTAGGCTTCCAGCAATGATAATGATCAACTTCTAGTAGCTGTTTTTTCCTAGTCCAGGGCTGTTTAACTTCCCATTCTCTTGGCTTTAGATAATTATCAGTCTTTAGATAAAAAAAATGCAGGACGACCTGTGGCACCACTGTCACTTAGCCTGTGGGCCATGACTTTACTCTTAGGTGCTTACGGCATGGTTGACGGCAAGTTCTTTCCAGCCCAAGAACCTCCATGTACACTCTCCAACCCTCACCACTTTTCTTTTCTCTCTCTTTAACTCCCTGCATAAAATCAAGCAAACAGGAAGCTTTTGGCCCCTGTGAAGTGAATGGTTTTCTTTCAAGAGGAGAAAAAGCAATACCTGTGTAATGGGGCAGATGAAGTTGGTCTGACTTTGGGTCACAATCATATCTTCATCCACTCCTTCTGTGCCATCAGCCTCTCTATCGCCTTGAAGACCATCTGGAAAAAAAAAGGGGACCTGATGAGCCTCCATCGTCTACCGTCGTGCCAAAGTCGAGGAAGAAACAGAAGGAAGAGAGGTTAATAGTCTCTCAGGGGGCATTTGGTGTTCGCCCCCATGCTAGGCACTTGGATACAGGTTAATTCTTCTGCTCCTAAGAGAACACTGCAGGGTACCTGATTCTGTCTATTTTTTTTTTTAGAGACAGAGTCTCACTTTGTTGCCCTTGGTAGAGAGTAGTGGCATCACAGCTCACAGCAACCTCCAACTCCTGGGCTTAGGCGATTTTCCTGCCTCAGCCTCCCGAGTAGCTGGGACTACAGGTGCCCACCACAATGCCCAGCTATTTTTTTTTGTTGCAGTTTGGCTGGGGCCAGGTTTGAACCTGCCACCCTGGGTATATGGGGCTGGTGCCCTACTCACTGGGCTACAGGCACCGCCCCATTCTATTTTTGATAAGAAAACTGAGTAGTAAAAAAAAAAAACCCAAAAAACTTTGTTATAGAGAATTAATATGCAAGGAAGTTCTGCCCAGTGATTGAGAGTGTGGCTTCAGAGTCAGAGGACTGAAGTGGTCATTAGCTGTGAGACGCTGGCTAGTAAGGTACCCTTGTGAAAAGCCTCTTCTTTATACTCTGTTACAAAAATTAAAAGACATGAAGAATGTGCAGTGCTTTGCACAACTCATGACACAAGGAAACAATCAACACGTAGTCATTACTATTAGGTAGTGCAGGGGTTCTCTTGGTCATAGGTTTGAATCCTTTTGCACTTTTAGATATTATTAAAGGTCCCAAAGACCTTTTTCTATGTGGGTTATAGTTATTAATATTTATCATATTAGCCATTAAGGCTGAGGGATTTAAAACATGTCTTAATTCATTTAAAAATACCAATAATAATCCCAGTACATGTTAACATAAAACATTTTAAAAATTAAAAGTAATCATATTTCTAGAGCACATACACAAAAAAAGGGTGAGCAGAGTGCATCGCATTCCATCTGCATAACTATCTTTAACGTCTGGCTCTACAAAAGCCCGTCCAATTATCTGCGTCTGCCTTCAATCTGCTGCAATATGACAGGTCATGCAGCCTCTGAAAAAACTCACTAATGAAAAGAATGAGAGTGCAAATGGCAAATGAGGTCATACTTCTGTCATGAAAACAGTTTTCGACCTTAAAGACACCTCAAGAGACTCTGAGGGAACCCAGGGGACCCTCTGATAACTGCTGAACCGCTCTGAAAGCAGCACTATCTCCTTCTGCAACCTGGGTTCTTTTCATTACATCCCACATGCCCCTCCCTCACTGAGGAAAAAACAGACCACAGATAATTTTTGAATGGGCTATCTCACAAGAAAGCCTTTCTCTCTGAAGAGGGATGATTGCCATTTTGCACAGAAGCCAAAGTGTTGACGGTCTCCTTCCTTTTCTGCCCTTTCCTTTCCCTCCTCTCCTCTCCCTTCTTTCATTTTGGCAAAATAATATAGACATAAAAACTGCTTTATATATATATATACACACACACACACACATATATATGTATGTATACACACACACACACACACACATATATATATTTAAGAGCAATATACTATATATTACTCAGGCTGGTGTCAAACTCCTGGCCTCAAGTGATCCTCACAAAGCACTGAGATGACAGGTGTGAGCCACTGTGCCCGGCCTGTTTTCCTTTTATGTGTGAATTGTTTATGGCTCGAATGGTCTGTCATATCTTTCAGTTCCATAGAACTGATGACTCTGGGCCCCCACCTAGGCCGGACGAAGTGCTTGTCTACAAAGATACTACAGGTTGAGCATCTGTTATCCAAAATGTTTGGGACCAGAAGTGTTTCAGATTTTGGACTTTTTTTTTCTGGAATATTTTCAAGTATATAGAGATACTGTGAAAAGGGGATGCAAATCTAAACGTGAAATTCACATGTTTCATATACAACTTACACAGACAGCCTGAAGGTAATTTTATACAGCATTTTTTCATAATTTTGTGCACCTGTCACATGAGGTCAGGTGTGGAATTTTCCACTTGTGGCATCACAGGGCCCTCCAAAAGTCTTTGGATTAGGGATGCGCTACTTAATGGCTGCAGGAAGAGATTATGGAGCTGTTCTTCAAGGCTACCCAGGGAGGTGATGGCTGGAACCCATGGGCTGCTCTGCTTTCATTTACTCTGTTTTTGGGGGTAGGAATTTTACTTTCTTTCAGTGGCTAGTGCTGTTTTGTACGTCAGCAGCCGGCTGTCCACTGCCCCCCAACCAGCTCTCATTCTTTGAGGAAAGCAAGAATGAAGACCTCAGCGCTTAGGACTTCCCAGGCAGAGCATTTTTAACCACTGGCAATAAGGTACAATGCATGCCTTAGGCCAGGGGTCCTTAAACTTTTAAAACAGGGGGCAAGTTCACTCCCTCAGCGTGTTGGAGGGCTGGACTGCGGACCCCAGGACGAGTTGGCTGCTAAGCAGGACAGGCAGCGGTGGCAAAAACACCTGGTGGGCCGGATAAATGTCCTAGGTGGGCTGCATGTGGCCCATGAGCTGTAGTTTGAGGACACCTGGCCTAGGCCTTCCAGTTTTTTAGGGACCTATAAAAATGTGTGAGACCTTGAAATCCATTTATTGGCTTCAAAACAGGGTAACTATAAAATTGAAATTACTAAATGTTAAAGGTCTACAAAATGCAACGTTAACTTCATTTATTGTTGATTTGGTCATTGAAAATGTTTCAACTGGAAGCAATATGTAGGCTAGATTAATTTTTTAACTTAAGAATTTCCAAGTATGCTAAGATAATTGCTAATAAACTAATAGGCAATTATAAAATACATTACATGTGGAGGGTATTATATTTTAGTGCTGTGATACAGGGTGTCCTGAAATAATAATGCTTATGACTCTGAAGGGTTTTCATGCTCCCCAGGACCTGTCTTTAGTATTCCCAGTACAAGGCTCAGACTCCTAAATGTCCTTTTATCAACCCCTGACTCTTCACAGTGGCTCGGGATAAGCTGGGCAGGTAAGGAGAAAAGCCAAGGTTCAGGCCAGGAACAATTCTGTCTCCTGGACTCACTTTTCAAAGCCTTTTCCTGTGGGCTACTGCCTCTCATTTCGGACCGTGGCGTCTGATACTCAAAATAAAAGTAGCTCTTTGCCATTGCTTAGGGTTTATTCTGAACTGATGGCAGATTTCTGCGTGTAGATGTTATACTGTGGAATTCACCAGAAAACCTGTTAAGATGAATAGCAGAGTTCAGCTGATGTGGGTTTGTTTGTTAGTTTCTATTTTTAAATTTCAGAAGGTACAGGAAGTAAGAAGGCATAACTCAAACGCAACGCCAACCACTAGGGAAGGCTGAGTGGGGAACTTCAAAAGCGTGGGTGGCTACTGGCATCACAGATCATGAGAGAAGGTAACAAAAGGGAGACTGGGCAAGAATGCTGCCAGTGAGTAAGAGCCTGCGGACCAGGAGTCTCTGAACGTCTCTCGAGACAGAACATTTCCTCACCCTGAATCTATATTTATAGAAATTGACATTAGTGTTGGGATTCTCCAATGTGCTACCAAAAGGTCATGTCTGGCAATAAATATCACTTCTACTGATTTAGTGGACCTAAGACCAATCTTTGTGTAAGTTTTACTCGGTAAAAAGGAAGTTTTCTTTAGTAGAGAAAAATTTACTAAAATCACAGAAGTTTTTAAGCTAAGGTTATCTATCCTCAGATTCATTCATCTGGGGAAATTGAGATCCAAAGAAATTGTGGATTTTGTCCAAAACGATGCAGGAATTTAATAGATTTGAATACTAAAATCAGTACATTGGGAGTTCCCCTGGCCCCCAAATTGTTATTTCATTAATAATAACAACACGTGAGGTTTACTGAATGTTATACAGCAGCTACTGTGCTAAGCACTCTATAGACATTATTTCATTTAATCTGCAGAAAATTCCCCATGAAGAATGATATAGTTACTCTCATTGTACAGACAAGAAAACTTAAGCCCCAAGATGTTTTTAGGGCAAATGTAGAAAATATTTGCCTTATAAAAAAGAAATAATTGGGTAAAATCAGTTTAATCTTTATTAAAGAATTCACAATGATTTTCTTGATTATAGATAGAAAAATAAGCAAATCAGTTGTATTACTTTTATATATTATATATATATATAAAATATATATAAAATCACATATAAATAAGACCCACACTGTACACCCAGCTGCCCTGGGTGCTGTGCTGAGGAGGAAGGTTATGTGAGGACAGTCACAGAGCACCCACAAGACACGTAGCAGGGTGTGAGTCAGGTAACTTGAAAGTGATGGAGAAACCATGGCAATGCTTGAAGTAGTCTTTCCAAAGGTCTATGACTACGCCTCAGTGATGTAAATTGTGGGGGGCGGTAGTGAGGGCATTTATTGGACCCTAAGACGTGGGTTCGGGATTATTCAGTTGTGATCGTGTGTGAAAAGTCAATCAGCTCTGTCTTCCATCTTCCTCATCTCAGCCACCATCCACCCAGCAGCCCAAAGCCCAAACCTTGGGAATCATTCTTCACTATTCCCCTTTCTTCATTCCTCACACTAATCCGTTGCCAGTTCTGCTGCCTCTGGTTCCGAACCATACCCCACATCCAGCTCCTTCCTGTTCTTTACTCCGCCCCTCGCTGCAGACCACTGCTGCCTCCTGTCTGGACCTTTGCAGACGCCGCCTAACCAGTGACCCTGCTTTGACAAGGGCCACAATCTGCCCACGTCCAGACCCTGCAATGGCCTCCCCAGCCCTGTGTGACCTTGCCAGACAACCTCTGTGATCAGTCTCCCTGTCACCCATCACATTCTAGGTACAGTGGGCTTTTCTCTTTCTCTAGAACATGCCAAGTTCCTCCTGTCTTTGGGCCTTTACATTAACCTGTCTGGAATGTTCTTCTTCCTGCTCTTGCTCATCCTGCTCCTTCTTGTCATTTTGAAATGTCAGTTTAAATG